TGATGGACTAACATTCCAACCAGGGGGAGGGTAGCAGTACTCCTGTTTGCTCCATGCAAAGGATGCTGGGTAAAGTTCCGGCCGGGTGGAGTGTTTGGCGGGAGTGCAGACTTTCCCACGCTTTAATGTGCAAAACTTGGAATGTGGTGCCGTGATAGGGGTCTTGCATCCATTACAGAGCCCAGTGCCTTACAAATTGCACTTGTATTTTGGCACAAAACTAGCAACCACTTGAGAAAAATTAGCAAAAATTCAGCCAAATTGATGTGAAATATCATGCGAGAAGTAAGATGAAGTAATAAAAATATTATTCTGCTCTTTGATGACTTTTTGTGGTTGTGGGAGCAAACCTCTACGGTTCATAATGACTAGATTTCTCCAGATAATTACCGGTAATGCATATGATTTTGTGGTTTAGAAGCAAAATTTTAAGCCTTTCAAGGGAAAAAAACTACAAATTCTTAAATATTATTTCATTGTTAAGTGATATTAAAGGGAGCTATAATGTTCATGCCTTAGGACATAACAAATTATTTTTGTCTATAAAGTTTACCTTTCTGTCTGCTATGTATAACGCTTCAGCCAACTTTGCAAACTTGTCATTGATGTGAGGGTCTTGGAGACCTCGTCCATCTGCAGCTAGACGTTTGTCAAGAGGAATGGTGTACCCCTACAGCCAAAAACAACAAAATCAACACTTTAACCTTCTACACCCAAACATTAGTAGATATATTCTCCATACTGTTCTTCACACATTTTCTTATGTGCTAACAAGGAGAATTTGTCTATCAATCAAAAGTTTCTTTAGTTGTTGATCATTTTCGTTATTCTCCTGACCTTACTGTGTGATTCAGTGGTGATATTGTAAGGAGAAATTAGATGCTGGTCACTCCTTGAAGTCAAAAGATTAAACGACAACAACAACACTGGTAATTACAACAATATTTATAGTAATGGGGATATTAATAACAAATACTTATGAGAAAGAGCATTTTTTCTAATGTCTTCTAGAGAACTATAAACATACATCTAAACCTGACTCTTTTAAGGAATTTAAGAATAGTTCATGAAGCTTACCAGTCATAAGCTTAAAATTATTACACATTGATCATCATTAGATATTTACTTGCATTTTGGCAAAATATCAATATCAGAAGCAAGTACAGTAAATGTTTTTTTTTTTTAATGTAAATAACTGTCTTGATATAGGCAGACCTTAATTTAGAGAAGCACTTTCTGTAAAGAGCCTTTAAGTTGTTCTCAATTCAAATTACCTTGGCATTCTTCCAGTTAGAAATACAGGGAGGGATTTTCCACTCTTGCTGTTCTTTCACAGTCACCTGATAACAAGAAATATTGATTATAGCAGTTGTACAGCCCAAACTTGTGCACAAATCTCAACTCCCTTGGAATCAGTGGACAAAGGACCATTCTATGGACACACCACAGCTTACTATTTCATCTTTGTCCTCATCATTTAGTACATGTACATAAACAGTTCCTGAAACTTTCACATGTCATATCTTCCTTCGAAATTAGAATGATAACCTCCAGGTGACATCCACTTCAAAAATGTTTCAGTAGTGCTATTAAGAAAACTTAATTTTCTAGAATTGAGATGTAAAGTTACTTTGATGTGCATTTTCTTTCACCTTTCTGCTTGGAGAGTGCATCACAGGAGCAGGAGGTGAGGGGGGTCCCCTGGGGATCTTCTTGTTTGTTCTAAAAGTAGACAAGATGAGTGACAGGTTGTTGATATGGTGAGTGGCAATTTCCCAAATTCTTAGATACACATACTCAAAGCAATTTCACTTTGTCAGTAGTCTTATTCCATGTAATCTGTCTTGTAAATAAACTTTTTTTGCCCCTTACAAAAGAGGTAGATGACTTGTCAGATCAATGATGAGCAAGGGAAGGCCTTAAAAGCATTCCTGAGCAATCTGCTCAATGAAATCTTCAACCACAATGTGCTCATCAAAATCTTAAAAATTTCTCATCAGCTTTATAAGGACACTGATTGGTCAGAGGGCATACTGGATAATAATCTATCAATTGTCTCTCTAGTACATAAAAAAAAGGTGTTCGTCAAAAAATAATATGTTCGTGGTACTACCTTTGTGAAAGTGACTCATCTTGGCTTGGTAGTAACTGCTTTTTGAACAAAAGAAAACTTGAAGACTCAGTCAGTTTTAGTAAAGAACTATTCAAAGGTCTTACTTAAATCTTGGAGGCTCCATAGGATCTTTCTGCATTTCCACCATTCTTATGACCCGCTGTTTAGCACCAGAGTTGAAAGCTATTCCTTGCTGGGAAGGTGTGTATCTGATGTATTGGGCTGCCTGTGGCTTCTGAGCAACTTGGGTGGGCTGTGCTGCAGCAATTCTGGTGGTGACTTCTTTTTCAAGAGCTTCTCTTGTTTTCCTGGTTGTCTGCAAATAATTTATGTCAATAACATGTCGTTAATAGAATAAAAAAGGAATCCTTGAAATAGTACATGGTTCCTCCATTAAGATAGCTAGTACAATGCTCCTGCAATAAATTTGAGAGCCAACAAAGTCAGCAGTAACTAAGAAATTTCTATGTTGTTCTCTTAGGAGATAAGAATTACTTATTTTATTTTGATGACAAAGCCAACTAACTGGTAACAAGACACAAAACCAATTTTCAACCTTTGTTTTTTCAGAAGTTGCTTCAATTGCTCAAGGATAGTTTTGTCACATAATAAATTGTGTTACAGAGGGAAGACGAAGACAAGACTGGGACAAAGGGAGAAATCTCAGAGCTACAAAGAACTTGTTGCTGAATAATGCCATGTAATTGGGTCACATTAAAGGCAGGTTAATTTACCTCTTCAATATCTTCCTCTGATGGTCTTTCTAAGTCTGGATCACCTTCATCTTTTAAATGTACAGGAACTAAGTCTTGGAATCTGGAATGCACAACCTAAGAACATATCAAAATTGACTTAAAAACTAAAATTGATATTAAATGAACCAAGAGTTACTGTGATTATTAATCTACACAAACAAAGCCCAGCCGAACATTTTAAGTCGTGTTAGCACCAAGGAGCACAAATTTAAAATAACCATAAGAAAGTGTTCAGGGGTTTCATTAATGATTTCAGCAGGAGAGCAACTGGTTTTCACAGGCAGGCAAAACTTTTTGAACTAAACTTCTTTATAAGATAAACCTTCCTCCAGATTGTTAAACCAGGTGGGCAAAACCGTCCTTACAACTGGTCAATTTGGCTGGCACCCGGCCCTTTATGAAACCCCTGGGTGTTAACCTCTAACTGCCAAAATCTGATTGTAAGTTTCCCCTCTAGCTGACACTCATTTCCTTATGAATTAGTTAAACAAATTTGGTTTCAAATCCAGATAACTTCTACCTAATAAGTTGAGCATTCTCATGGCCTGTTTTTTGGATAATGTATGAATATTCTGAGGGGAATTTATAAGTTAATTACTTCTATGGGTTAAGGTTAAATGTACCAGCTAAAAACAAAGAGAAAAAAATATTAACTAAAAAGGGAGCAATAATGGTTGACAATACAGAACAAGCATTTCTCATTGTTGCAATTTGCCTAAAAATGTTTTAACACAAAATGACAGTATCCTGTGTGGAACATGAGGAACATTTAAGGACAAGTTGTGAATTTGGAGTAAAAAAATACAGTGAGTGGTAAATATCCATGAATAGGGGGAAGAAAGACTGATTTAGTCTCTAGAGTTTATTTCTTCTGGAAGCATGACCATGTTTTGTTACCTTATCTTTTCCATGACCCTGTTTAACAAGAGCATCATACTTCACTCTGCCCTTTGAATCAAGCTGTACTGGTAGAGCATTTGTACCTGAAGCAGGCTGTGAAATGCAATAAACACACAGTCATAACACTTTTAAAATTAAGAGTTACCAATGGCTAACATAAACATCATTAACATAATGCTCTTGTGCATTTAAAACTATTTTTCTAACCTTTTTAGTTCGCCCCATGTCCAGAGGATACCTGAAAGATTCTTGTTAGGGAAAGCTTCTATCAAACATAACCAAACCTTCTACTAAGAGCATAGCAAGTAAATTAAATACACCTTCAGAAAAAAATTTAAATTGAAACCCATGGCCAGTGTCCATTTATAATCAGAGGGGTAGAGAGAGACACTGAGGGTAAAGTAGCAGAATGATCCAGTCACACCTTAAGCACAGATTACCCAATCCACTGTGCAGTACACCAACAGGATCCAAATTATCTAATTATTATTATTTTTAAATGATTCTCCTCAAGTGCAATTTCACAATGATGATGATAACCTGAAACAATGTCTATTGTGCTCTCTGGAGTAAAAAAAAAAACCATAAATGTCCATGTACAAGCCGCATTTTTTTTTTCCACAAAATTGAAGCCAAAAATCAAGGGTGTGGCTTATCCATGGATACATCTGTGATTGGAGTTCTCCAAAACCTAATTAATATTCATAAAACTTCTTAAGATGCCAAGAAATAAACATAAGAAACTGAGAGCGTGTTGCTGTGGTTCACTGACTTTTTCATTGAGTGGCGGCTCCTAAAGGAGCCATCTGTGTCTTCCCGTGTTTATCGCTTTACTCGAACAACTAAACACCAACATACAAGGAATCTCCATTCCTCTGCACAAGTGTTTGCAGTGACGTCTGCGGCCAGTCACTTCCACACATATCTTTTTGCCATGTGCAATAAAGTACCACAAAATTCGCGAGAACTTGCGACGTACATGGCCAACTGTTTCAGTGTTTTTTACTGCCTTCATAGCAAATTTGTCGACTGCATTATCATGCTCCTGTTCTGCATGAAGTTTTTTGCCTATTGCGGGTTAAATTACTGGAAGTATTGTAATAGTAATTAATGAAATAGAAACTGAAATGATTGCCTCAGTGTGCATGCCTCTGTTTATGCCCAGACCCTGGCCCAGACTCCTCCCAACATTTAAAACCTGGCTACTAAGCACTTGTTAGTTTTTTTTTTTTTCAATGCTGAAGGAATTTCAACTTTATGGCATGTTTCGAAGTGAAAATCTCGAAAAATCGGATCGAAAGAGCATTATAAGTTAAAGATGGTGTAAGTTCCAATGAAAAGGAAGGTATGACAAATGAAATTTCGCTTTCTTTAGACTTGATATATGTGAAAGATAGCTACAACTTCTATGTCAGTGTTTCGAAACCTTGATTGTTTGTAGCAATAAAACTCTACTGAAACTTCAAACTGTATTGTTTTTATTTTTTTGCACTCCCAAATCTGGGGTGCAGCTTATCAACGGATGCTGCTTATACAGGGACGTTTATGGTAAATAAATAAATAGTAAGGATACTGTGCCACATGAATTTCAGGAAAAGCACCACCATCACCAAAATCCTGAAGGAAAAAATCAACATACCTGTATAAGCAATCTCATATTTGATAACATATTTTTCTATACACTAAAACAGACGAAAGCACATGTGTAGGTGGAGTAGGTGGATGCGCACTCTGATTGGATACTCAAACACCAAATAACCTTTACCAGTCACAGCTGCACAACTAGCAGGGTATTTGCAACTGAAAACATTGTGATCATTGCAGGAATAAATAAGTTGATATCATCTTTTTGTGCTATATTAACTCAACATGTTTATACATACTACATTTATTTGCCTCGGTGTCAGTGGCTAATGGAAGATCTTCATCTCAACACTTAGCACCTCAAATAATATCCACCACTATCCACCTCCACTTCAGTGAATACAAGGCTGTGCTCTAACAGTGCCCAGTGGCCACTGGCACCTTACTTTTGCTCTTGGGCGACTCGGAAATTTTAGTTTTTTTTCATACAAAGCATATGCTGGGCACCCTGGATTTCACAGTTTCAGAGCACTGGGCTTCATTCAATTTT